CCTCCAGAAATGTACACACACATATGATCCGTTGTATTATGGTAGGAGATGCGTGCAATAAGTGTGCCCACCACCTTCACCATCTGTCCCGTGTAAGATCGCAAATGTATATTGGGTGGATCTAACTAGGAGTTGTGCTAAGGCATCCGGTTTTATCAGGGTAGCTGCGGAACCTTTGTCAATTTCAAAATCCACAGGTTGCCCGTTTACCTTAACAGACACGGCAAAAGGCTTTTCCGACATTATGTTGCAGTTTAAAACAGTTGTGGTATTGATCCAGTTCTGGTGTAAGTTCTCGGTGATGCAGTTTGTAGCTTTATGTTGCTCAGATGCAAATGATTTCCGCTTAGAAAGACATACTTTCTGAATATGACCTATTTTACCACAAATTCTGCACACTGAATGAAAATGCTGACAGTTATTTGGGGACGAATGACATTCACTGCAGCGACAACAACGAAATTCTCTACGCTGCACAAGTTGGGTTGCGGTTTGATCACAGTTAATCTGGGAGACTGTTTACATCCTGTGAGATCAACTGATTAGAGGAAGAAAACGCAGCCAGTTTCTGAACGAGGTTTGCACGCTGTCGGACAATATCACAGGCTTTTTCCCAAGTCAGGAACGTTTACTCTTCGGATAGCAGTCGCTCTTGTGACTTTTCATCGAGAACACCCACGATTAACGCCTGAAACAGCATCGCTTCTTCGAACTGCTTCAGGTAGAATCTGATCATACGCACAATCGGGGAGGGCAGTAAGAAGTCGAGAGATAAACTCTTTTACACTCTTATTCGATTGTTGTCGTATGGTGTTGGATTTGCGGTATGCTGTGAACATATGTGGCTTTCTCCCCCCCCCCCCCCCAAAGTTGGTCCAGGGAATAGAACACACAGATCGTATGTCTCTTTTTGTATGTAGTTGCAAACTGTCGAAATGTCGCTGCGCTTCATTACCGAGGTGGTGGCGTAGTTGCTTGTTTTTTGCTGCATCGTCTAGCGTGTTGTCGCCGCCAAGAAGTAAAAGTAGATCAACGTAACTCATGAAAGTAGTTTTCCACTCTGTCCACTGCTGATTAGTAGGTCTTTCAGTATGGGAATTCCAAAACAGTAGAGGTGCCGTAATCGAATTTGCCATGAGTAATCCGATAACCTTCGTCACCAATATGTTACACCCAAGCGAAATCAGAACAGCGGTATGGTAGTCGGAAAAATTTAGTAGTAAGCGTGAAGCACTACACTCTACTCAGCACATGTCAGCACGTAAGAACTGTCTTCCACGATAGTCACATGAGCGCTAGAACGAGTTTCATTTCGAAGCGAATCAATGGCGGACACTGATTGGTTGTCATACGAACACGTACGCACATAGGCACACATGCTTCTAAGCAGCTGGCTATCCGGCTGAATAGCATTGGATGGATTTCGAACGACCAATGACTGCACTCCAGACTCCCATTACTAACCTTTCTTCTATAATTCCTATCTTTTTTGGCAGTAGCTGTATTGCCACTGGTGTTCTGCCATTTACAGCTATGTTCCCACGACGGCAGCCTCCTATAAGGCCACGCTTTCCCGTTTCCCTTGCAACATTTAACGTTCGCAATCTAAGGCAGGTGGGTCAACAGGCTGTACTCGCGCGAACATTGGACACATTGGGTATCAATTTGTGTTGTGCGTCAGAAACTGGGATCAATGACCCTCATAGGGTTGTTGGACCAAATGTACTTGGTTTGGTTATGCATCATGCTCTTGTGGGCTATCGTGGTGTTCAAGTTAGCCCTGACTTCTGACTCAGACCTAGAATTTGCTGACGATATCGCTATCCTTGCAGAAGATCATATGTCAGTACACTCACTGCTAAATCGGATAGATCAGTGAGCCTCTCTGTGATCGGCCTCGAAATTAACATCAGTAAGACGAAGTACTTCTTATCATCAGCCACCCAGTTCGTCTCATCGCTCTCCTTACATGAACTACGTATCGAGCCTGTAACTGAATTCAGATGACTTGGATGCACTATTCTCCCCAATTGTCAGGTTACGTCCGAAACCCGGAATCCTATTGACGCCGCCAGAACAGCCTTCTTACAACTGAGAAACACATTATGGCGAAGGACGGAAATTAGTCTGCGAACGAAAATCGGAGTATTCTCTGCAACCATTCGAGCCATTTACTCTGTAGTTACCAAACATGGCTGCTGCGATCCGAAGACACCCCGAAGCTAGAAATCTTCGACCATTTGTGTCTAATACTTATCTTGAAAACGCAGTGCCATGAGCGCATCACCAGTGATAAAAAATTCGTAAGCTTTGTTACGGTCTTCGAAGTTCTCAGCGCACATCCAACGCCGCATTCAGTGGTTCGGTCACGTCCTCCGCAGATCAGACGCTGACTTCACTAAGACCGTAGTTTGGACCTCACCTGGCCAAGGTTGGTGTCGTCGCCGTGGTGGACAATCGAAAACATGGCTCGCTGCGGTTAAACCGGATGTCAATCTCCAGGTTGTGCACGATGCTCGTCACTGGAGAAATCATTGGATCAGTGTCTGCGAGGAGCTTGCCGCTGACCGCCACTCTTGGGCAGCTACAACCCGCGACATTCATTAAGCCGACTCATCCTGGCACTAGACACTGTTTGTTTGAAGTTTCCGCTTATGTCTCCCCCGACAGCACTGCTGATGCTGCCATGGACGCCTACTCCCGCGAGCTAACCACGTTGCTACGCAGCGTTACCAACACAGATATCGTTATTGTTGCTGGAGATATTAATGCGCAGGTAGGTCGTCTGAGCTCCTATGAAGCTGAGCTTGGTGGTAATTATGGGCTTAACTCCGAACGGACAGAAAACGGCGACCGTCTGTTGCAACTATGCCCGTAGCCTTAAGGATCACAAGTTTGCCTTGTAATCCGAGGGCGCGGGTTCGAGTCTGCGTAGGGACCGGGCGATCCTCGCAGTATCATTAGCCCGCGTGCGACTGATGCTGGTTGCGCGGCAGCGAAGCACTGGTACTGCGTACAGGCGTGTTGCTGATGTCTTTGCTTAGGGCACCGGCTGTTTCTTAGCAGCACCGCTTTGAGACACAGTGGGCGCTAAAGTGCCACTTGGAGTCCTACAGCTGGCCAGCGATGAATCCACATAGATCGTGTTGCCATTAGTTACAGTTCCGACTGCACCTCCTGTCGCACACAGATTTTTGCATTTTGCAACGTCAGATATAACTGACAGCACAGTGTTACGTGGCGTTTTGCCGCACATTATCACCTTAATGCCTGCACTTTCACGGCATTCAACCTGAAACGTTCTGTCTATTCCACGTCCATTTTCATACGTCGCGCTCCACTCACGACGCTTTTTCATCGATTGAGCACATCAGTCCATTAGCACACCTTCGAATGTCGCGACTGCGCGATATACTAAAGTAAATATTCTAGAGAATATTCGTGCACATAGATGCTTGCGTCAGCGACGTGACTTCTTGCAGTTACCGTGACTGAGCGATGATCAGGGTAAATGGTGAAATGATAACGGTTCTGTTCAATGTAAGCGGCGTGAGTAGACAACATGGCATTCAGCTCGATTCATGCACCACTTGTCATGAGCGGTGCCATATCCAGGATAGATTGGAGGCACATTTTGATCGCGTGGGAAACGGATGAATCAATTTGTTAAATCAGTTGTTGTTTGCGCTTACTCTCTTCATACCCACCTAGATACGAGTGACTGAGAAGTGTGCTATTTGGCGCATAACGTCTACCGGCTCAATGTGGCTAGACCACCGTCTCGTTAGTTGCCATCCCAAACCATCTGTTTGCGATTAGTATCCGAGTTGCTGGTTGTGTAGCAAAAGAGCGAGTTTCACTATTATTGCACTCGTCCATTGTTTCTCGAAAGGGTCAGTTTCGTTAGTTGTCCCGAAAGGTCAATCAATATGTCGTAGATCTGAAATCGGTCTCCAAAGCAGAAATGCAATGCAGTGCTTGAGGCGAGCAACACAGAGATGTCTCTCCACTTCGGGCGTGGTCCCAGCACTCCAAATAACCGAGATTTACTTCAATGCAAACCACGGAGGTATTTAGGATGGCGCGTCGCAATCCAAACACATTGAAATTTCTCCAAATCTCAACATTAACCGCTTTTATTGGCACGTTTTATTTTCATCTGTCACTAACTTATGGCCTGCTAAACAATGCACGAATTTTTAGCTGTTCCTAAGCGTCACTATTGTTGCATCTATGCAAACCTTATTCTTTTGACATGCTATGTAGCGAGGTTTGGTATGGGATGTGCCCCAAGTCGCACTCTATCACTGTCCACATTAGTCGTTTCATGGCCAGGATAGTATACACGGTTATCGGCCTTTGGCCAATTTTTGTATGATAACGTGTGCCCCAAGTTGTTTTCTCTACGAAATATATCCTCTTACAATGCGGGATGGAATCGAGGAGGGTCCATTTTATGTTTTACTGCGTTGCCGTCGAGAGGCAGAACAAGGTTTGGGCTTCGATTTTATTTCTTTAACCACAAACTACCTGCTATTTACATAGTACCACTTGTCGTGACATCTCACCGTCGAGGCTACCCTCTTCGTTTTACACTGCTCCACAGGCCAATTCTTATTGGCCGAATTTTGTCCATCTTCTGTCTGCTTAATGGTCAATCGAATTTGCGCACTTGAGGTGGTTGCGCATTGTCGACTCCAACCTGGACCAATTGTTTGCTAGTGGTCCGACCCAAGACGATCCCGGATAACTACCTTCAACATTGATAGCTTACCGGTTATTTTACCATCAACCCTTCACTACCCAATGTTGCTGACCTCAGTTACCACCACATTTCGCTTCCTACCTTGATAACTTCCACCATTTTAACTATTACCTATTTCGCTCATGAGTCCGAAGACTCCAGCACTGCTCGGCTGCAAATTCTGTGCTCTTCTTTACCCCACTTCTTCCTCCATTAGTATCCGATGGATCTATATCATATCTTATGCTATTTTCAGGTTGAATGAAATGGACTTTTACGCGATGTTCATCGCCAGTCTCGTCGAGAACCAATGCTACCGAGTTATTATCTCAGCCATCACATGGCACGGATGTGTAGATTTTATGCTAGTAAGTCCCATGTTTTTGTTCCAGAGCATGCGTGCAGACTCTACCATGAATGCAAGCCATCATCTCTTCGCGATACACATACCGACCCCGTACTCGAACTGAACACTACACTGTGAAAATCAACGCTTGGGATTTTGCAGCTGTCTCTTTGGTACTTGTCTTGCACCCACTCGAGCTCCATGTTTCACGCATTTCTCCTCTCGTAGGGGATTCTTCCAGCGTTGAGTATTGTTGTGACTATGCCCTTGCCTCTGTTCTCTGCGTTGCCGACCCAGCCAGAAAAAAAGAGGACCGAGACTTGCTAGACCAAAGTGTATTGGGGGCAGAGCATGATTAACTTTATAGGTCACATGCACTCATCTTCGACTGTGCGTTACTGGGCTGATTCACCTCACTTGTCTAGACAGATTCAAATCTGATAGCGGCCTCCACTGTCTTTCAGTAGTCACGATCACGTCCTCGCCGTAATAACCCGTGCGACGATGATGAACGGGGTGAGCCAGCTGTCCGCGAGATTTTTGCTTAGGCTCAACTCTTGTCTCGAAACTGTCGTGGCGTTCATTCGTTGCGGCTGCCTAATAAATAACATTGTGAGTTTCATTTGAAACATATACACCTATCAAGGAGAGAACGAATATTGGCATTGAGGTGGCACTTTATCATAATCGTGTGACTTTATGGACTTCCGATACAGCTTTTCATATTTACCGGTTAATTTACGGCGTCCCTTTGAACGTCTGATACGGATTGCTTTGCAGGAAGTTCAGGCTGTCTCCACTCTCTTTCTGAATTCGTTAGGATAGCCACAACCAGCCAGCGTCTCTCGTATGAATATGCACTTATGGTAAACTTTATTGCGACAGCAAGCTTGATAAGGTTGAAGAATATCAGGTAGTCGCTTCAACACAATGAGGCTGTTGTCTCTTCAATTTTATTCTTCGACCGGCTCCGTGTTACACCATGCCAAAGGCAAACAACAACGGTAGCCTTTAAAACAACTCATCGGCGAAGACAGTTGTCCACTGGACTATACAGAGGCGCCATTACACCATGCATTTGCTGGTTGGTATGGTACACAGGATCTCATCGTTTCACCTTTACAGTGCGAAGTTCCCAGTGGGTTCGCACTGTGACTCGTTCCCAGTGAATACCAGTGAGTGCAGGGTGTTCATCATTAACCCATACTTTTGTCATTGAGGTTACCCGACATCAGAAATGAATCTTGCACATGTGCCGATGAGGTGGATGTTCCAGATCTCTTCCCCGGTAGTACAGTCTGCCTTCCCGTGCTCTCAGGTTATCCACAAAGTCAGGAAAAATCTCGTATCTTTTATCGTTTGTATTACGTCGATGACTTGAGCCGAATCCAGAAAGTAACAGGCTGCTAACTCACTGCTCATGCGTTCGAACGCTTCGATTAGCCTCTATTGACGGATGTCGCGGCTAATTACTCATGTCATGAACGGGCTGCAACGATGCACTTTTCACTGGCCATTGAGTCTGGCAATAATGTTGCTTGTGCGAATAACAGTTTCCAGTGTATCGATGTAGCCCCGCCGTATCGCTGGGTGTATTCTCCCTGTTTCCTGGCGGGCATTTTTCGGAGTCTCATTTTAATCAGTATGTTAAGATTTATCCAGTGTGTGTAACGTGCGGACATCTTCATTCGATAGAAATTTGACGGCGTTTCCATGCGAATGGAGTCAATCGTCTTCTTAGCCATTGATCCACCAGCGAGAAAAAGGAATGAATGTGAGTTCCTGTTGGATCTAAACGCATCAAGCAGTCGTTAAGCATCAAAACGCCTACAGTTTGCGATCGCAAACATCTGGATATTGTGTGAAGTCAAGGCAGCGTTAGCGAAGCAGCTTCCTTAGTACTTTCACCATCCCGCGACGTGCTCAGCCTTCCATCATTGGAGGTAAACAGCGGTAATACTTGATGACTGTTTACCCGGTTTTGCCTTTATTTCTGACTGGGAACAATCACCAGACGCATATCCCTTTCAAATCATAACTAGCACTATCCTGCCTACACTGCCTACAGTTCTACCCACACATCAAGCATCTAGAGTCAAACTAAATGAGTCAGATGAGTGACGTGCGAGTGGGAGACACGAAATTTTCTTATCCGGGACTCACAACTCAGTGAGTCCACTGGGTCGTTGTTTGCTTGTCCATCACTAGACACATGTGGAATGACTAGGTCGTCTCTCGTTTGAGGTGGTGGAAGCTTGCGTTGTCACATCCTCGATTAACCACTCAGGTATGAGCGTCACTTGTTGGACAAAGCACCCTTATTGGGGCAAATGCAGTCCATTTGCAGCGACGACACATGCCGCAGTGATCTCATGCATTAGTGATTTAAGCCAGAAGCAGTGTCACTTAGTTGTGTTGCCACTCGTCTAGCCTAATCATTGACTTCTCGACTTAGGCTCTTCGTACTGATGGCGGTGAGGTTGGACCTGTAGTGGTCCACGTGCCCGTGCAAAATATTGGAGCACTCTGGGTGGCAATTTCATGAGGCCTCTAAAAACGGTGGACGGGAAGCAATCTCACTTTCAGTCTCTTCCTCTTCGGAGGTTGGACAGGCCGATGACTGCTTCCCAGCATACGTTAACCATCCGAGGCAACAATCTACGGGCTGCAAGCGCTATTTGATTAGTGAAGAGCACCAGCTCCATGGGTCGTCCTTGGTGATGGGAGGGTACTCATTGGTTCATGGCTGCCTGCATCAAGTTAGGCAACCTCTTCCACTAGTAATGCACAAACCCACAAAATCCCTCTTTCAGTTGACCGCGGTCACTGATATGGGCTTCGCTGTGGTAGAAAAACCTAAACTGACAAGTCTTCTAAGGCTGAGTGTGATCGGTCCCATGCTGTTCACCTTGGTGCTGTGCAGTCGTACTTTTTAGCTAGACCTCTTTGTTGCACTGTACGCCAGCCTATGAACGGGGTTCTCAATGCACTCATAAATTAGGTCCTTAAAGTGTAATGATCAGACACTTATTTGGTAAGTGTTATATGCCTATGGGTCAAAAATAGCACGGACGTATCTCTTCAGATTCGTCTACCTGGGGTATCCAGAAGATAACACACTGGACCAAAGAAAGTCTACTGACACAGCGGACGCTAGACTTGTGTCGCAAACCAAAAGACTCGGAGCAATAAGTTGAGGACGCAGGCAATATATCATAGGGAGATGTCGATCCAGAGGTATTTGCAAATTCTGCGAAATAAGCGGCGAGAACATTGTTATCGCACAACTGAAAACACGTTTTCGGATTGTCGGAACGGTGTCCCAATAATGCACAATGTCGCTTACTAGGTGGTTACGCACTTGTATTTTGATGACACATTCTGTTCCGCTTTCTGTGTACAGTTTCAAAGTTCTGCTACATTCTGTGGCGCTGCCTGGCTTTCGTTAGATTCGGGTTATGTTAGCTTTAATCCTGATACGAGAAAATCTTCTAATCTCTAACTGGTTTCTGTTGTAGGAAATTTCTCTTCACGGGAATGTATCGTCTAAATTACGCTGTTTGAACCTAAACCACCCTCTTTTCTATAGGTCAGTTTTTTCGGATGCTTTTTAGTCGCCCGTCTTGAGTGTATTGTTTATGGACTTTGCTCATTTGTATGTTACAGCGTTGTCAACTGACGCTGTGGCGAAGCAGCATGCGGAAATCGATCGAGACTTAGGCTGGTTTGTGCCGTCTTTTAAGTGGGCTTCATTGTTGTCCACCTTGGTGGTTAGAGACTGATTTATTGCATCTGCGATGTCAATGACGCTCTTCTATTAGATCTTTGGTTTCCACTCATCCATTATACTTTTTCATCGCTTTTCTGTCGATGTTCCGTGCATGTCTCTACGCTGTTTTTTCTCAACTTCCCCTCCCTTCCATTAAGTGTCATTTTCTCCGGCTTCATGGGCCATAGTAACCGGCACCCTAGCACTTCAGCGCTCAATCATATTCGGCAAGTCGAGTTGTACTAAGCCACTCCGGCTCGGTGGAGTTGCATGCGGCCGCATACGCTGTAGCAGGATATGATCGACGACGACCAAGTGCTAGCATTCATTTGTGTCTGGCGATACAACAATTTTAAGGCGATTGCGAACTACACGTGCCACAGTAGCACACGAAGGCATGGCTAAGCGCCTTGATTGACTGCTTCGTGGATGCGTCCAGGTAGTAGTATTGTAGGAACCCAAGAAGTGCGGCAACGAGCATCTACCATATGCATTAGATCTATCCGTTAACAGTTCCACTCATCTGCGGATGTCTTTTTGCAGCTTGCGTGGTACGCTCTTGTTGGAAGCCTTTTGCATTTCTTCCCACCGCACATCCATCTGCGGTTTCCAAACATTCTTCTTATGTTAGGACATGGGTTAGGTTCTTCGTTGACCCGTTACCGTTCGGTTTGTTTATTACCTATACTACTGATTCCTGGTGCAGTAGCACCAGCTCTTGGTTCATCTCAATATCACTTGCACCCCTGAAGTTGAACGTTTTTATCAGACTTTGAAAAGCAAACGATCACCGCTCGCATTGGCCTCGCGTTTACCACACGTACAAATAGTCAACCGCCATTCGGCACAGACTGAGTCACGGGTGGGGAGGGGTGAATGAGACTGTAACTGCTTTTTCGTATCGGAGTGACACGTTGGGGACCAAATGTGTTACTACATCTTGGAAACTTACTCCGTTCGGATGAAGGCGAAGTGACAACCGTTGGGCCAATGCCATTTAGCTCTTCATCAGATGATCACTCAAGCGATCGGGTGCCTCAATGCCTACCTCTCACCCACGAGGTGCTTCAGATATTTTGAATATCCGTTAAAGGATCTAGCCACTACCATTCTTGCACTACTTGCATTGTCAAGCCACTCCAACCCCACTTAGTGCTGCAAAACAATAGCGACCGAGTTTCACGATATCTAATGATGTCGCACCACACGGGATGTTGCCTCTTGTCTCTGATCCAGTCGTCTGTACACACTGC